GACAACGTACTATTTTATTATAATTTATAAATAGACATTTAACAATTTACTAAAATATTATTTAATAAATTATGCATAGTTATTTTACAAAATATTTTATCACACTAATAATTTTATACGATTTTATTATAATCAGAAATTATCTACAATAAATTATAACATATTTTATAAGTTTTTTTATCATTGTAAATGTATTTATATAAATTATATTTTAATGAATGCTTCAATATGTGGGAAAGTAAGGAGGTCTTAATTAATAAGATGTTATGGATAATTAGTTAAAATTATTTAAAAGTAATGGTATAATTGTAAATTATCAAAATTTGAAAGGGGAAAAAAAAGAAAATTAAAAGTTTTATCATGAGTATTCTCTTTTATAAATAGTATAGATTATATGTAAGTTATACATGTATATTTGTGGACAGAGAAGCAAAGAACAATTAGAAAATATTTTTTACATTTTTGTGTAGATTTGAATAAAAGAACCGTTTGAAGTCCTTAACAAGGATAACTTCGTATTGTTGAAAGACGTATCTTGCTTATCTAGGAGCAATTGGAGAGATTGAGAGTTGATTGTTGAGGGTTTATGAGAGATTTGTAACCCTAGTTTGTTCCTCTTGATTTCTAATAGTGAAAACTCCCCCCTCCTTGCCCCGTGGACGTAGGCAACTTGCCGAACCACGTAAAAACTGGTGTTTGTGATTGTTTGTGCTATTGTGGTTGTTTGGTTTATCTTTTCTCGGCGATTGTTTTGGTTTCTCAAGGCACAACAATTGGTATCAGAGCTCCGGGCTACGTTTGGGCTATTTTGGAGGAGTAGATCGCTTTGGAAGTTCATCTAGGGCTTCGTTTGGTGATAAAGGTGGGATCTTTTCAGTAAAAATCTCGTCTTTTTCAATTTGGATCTATTTCTCGTTTGTTTCCGCATTGGTTTGGTGGTGCTTTGAGATATATGGCTGAAAAAGATAAAAGTGGGGAGGGTTCTTCTGGTGTGAAGGCCGTCCAAAGTTTGAATATACATTCTATGAAAATAGATGTGGAAAAGTTCAACGGCACAAATAATTTTGGACTTTGGCGATGCGAAGTCATGGATGCGCTAAATGCGCAAAATTTGGAAGATACATTGGAGTTGGACGGGAAACCGGCCGACATTGATGAAAAGGTTTGGAATAAAATGAATAGAACGGCGTGTGGTGTGATTAGGTCTTGCCTTACCCAAGACCTTAAATATGATGTGATGAATGAAACTTCGGCAAAGAAGATTTGGGAGGTCCTAGAGGGCAAATATTTGACGAAGAGCATCGAAAATCGTTTGCATTTGAAGAGGAGGCTTTATCGCTTCCAATTGAAGAAGGGGACATCCATTAGTGATCACATGAACCACTACACGAAGCTACTTGCAGATTTGGCGAATGTAGATGTCAAGGTTGAAGACGAGGACAAGGCATTGTTGTTATTGAGTTCCTTGCCCGACGAGGAATATGAGACCTTCGTCCTCACTCTTATTAATGGAAAGGCATCACTTTCGTATAGTGAGGTCACCGCAGCCCTTGTGAATTATCAACTTCGAAAGAAGGACAAGGAGACTTCCATCGAGCCGGTTGCTGGTGCATTGGTTGCAAGAGCTAGAAGTCCAAACCGTGGAAGAAGGTCGCAGTCTAGAGGGGGGCATCCTGCAGTTGGTAGGAATCAGTGTGCCTTTTGTAGAGAGGATGGACATTGGAAAGCCGAATGCCCAAAATTGCAAGCCGTGAAGAATAAAGGGAAAGCTATTCAAGCTTCAGAGGTGAATATTGCCAAGGCTAGTGGCGATGTTTCAGATTCAGATTCTTCGGGCTATTCGTGCCCAGCTCTTCCGTCAGTTGATGTTGCCGACTCCACCGAGTGGATGTTGGATTCTGGTGCTACTTACCACATATGCCCTAGAAGGGATTGGTTCTCCAGCTTTCAAGAGTTGGAAAGAGGGGATGCTGTTCTCATGGGTAATGATCACAGATGCCCTATTGGTGGTATTGGTACCGTTCGGATTCGGATGAGTGACGGGATGATCCGGGAGTTGGCTGATGTGAGGTTCGTTCCTCAACTGAGGAAGAACATCATTTCACTTGGGGTATTAGAGGCATCAGGCTATAGGGTGACCTTGGCGGATTCTCGCTTGAAGGTCACATCGGGGTCCATAATTGTGATGAAGGGAGTCAGGCGGAGTAACTTGTATTATCTACTTGGGAGCACGGTAGTTGATAGGGCGCTGACTACTTCTATGGCTAGACTGTGGCATTGTTTGGTGCTGGGATATATTATTGGTTATACCGTGCACAGATTGTTGAGGAGTGCTATGACCTGCAGATTGAAGTCCTGTGAGCACATTGGTATGAGCGAGAAGACCGAGGTGGAGTTCAGCACTTCTATCCACCGATCGAGGGGTCTTATTGGAGGTGTTCAGTCAGGCATTGGGGGGCTTTCCGAGGAGGCATCATCGGGAGGTAATCGTTATTTTGTTTCCTATGTTGGGGATTGTACTAGGCATATTTGGGTTGCAACCAAGTCCCGTTGGTATAAAGACCTAGTAGTCCGCAACAGTTGGAGGAGGTGTATGGGCAGAAAGGTTACCAGTCGTACTTATTCTAGTAGGAGTCCTTTCTTGCATTGGTGCCGAGCTCACGGCAGTTGGAGACACTTCAGAGGGAAGGAGACAGTGGGGCGACGTGATGAGATGGCGGATTTAGTGAGCCGTTCCTTTCTGGAGGAGGATCGGTATTGGTTGTCGAGCAGTGGATCTGGTATTCAGGCTTCGACAAGTTTGGGTCATCTTATGAGGTTGCCGACTGCTGCGTATAGAGTTGTTAGATCTGGTGGAGCTGTTTCAGATTTTGGTCGGCGTCGGATATTTGGCTACCCAGCACTTGGTCACATCGTGGATGTGAGATTGGATCCGATTGCGGGGAGTATTGATCGGTCAGAGGTTGATGCTACTCCACATTGGGTGGGGATTTCTCCACGTACTCCAGGTCATTCTGCATTGGTTGGGATTCCAGCTGAGGTGGCACAGCGTGAGTCATTTATTTATGGGTGCAGATGATGAGGTAGTTGTTTTGGATGCAGCTGATGGGTATGTTTTGGATACGGTCATTGTTACATCTCAGGTGGAGGTGTTTGGATCGCTTCAGTTTGAGGTCGTTGATGATGCTATCAGCCGCAGGTTGGATTGAGGGCCTTTGGAGGCCCATATGGTGAACTACGTGAAGGCTTGATTCCTTGGGCAAGAGGATACGTAGGCAGTCTTTATGATGCAGCCGATTTGGTGAGCGACATCGACATTTGGGGTGAGTGTTCGCACTCTCATTTGGGTCTCAGCAAGTGAGGCATTTGGTGTAGTCGGTGTAGGTTCAGTTGTTTGGTGAGTAGACACAGTTGGTTTGGGGTTGAGTGTTCGCACTCCCGTTTGGATCTCGACGTGTTGTGATTGGAGTCCGTTGTCATGAGTCCGTTGCCATGGCATACTGGGTGCAACAGTTGAGGTATTGGTTTGATCGGTGTCGGCTCAGTTTGGTAGAATCTTCGCCGAGGTGGAGATTTGTAGAATTGGCAGAAAGTTCGGGTTTCAGCAGAATTGGGTGGCGGTCGACCGGCCCGGTCGACCGCATTCGTGCACAAGGCTTCCTGTGCGTCTGGAAGGAGATCGGTCGACCGGTGCGGTCGACCGACGGTTCTCTGGAGTTTGGGTTTTCTACTGAGAGCTGGTCGGTCGACCGGGCCGGTCGACCGGAATTGATCGCGGTCGACCGGTCCGATGGATCGCGGTCGACCGTACCGGTCGACCGACGCTGCGGTTTTGAGTTGGGCCTGTTTTCAGACCCGCTTCGTTTTGGATTTGTATAAATACCCATTGGGTGTTTTTTAGGGTAAGGGCAAGGACGAATTTGAGCAGATTGAGAGAGTTTTCTTTGGGCTTCTATTCTAGGAGCAATTGGAGAGATTGAGAGTTGATTGTTGAGGGTTTATGAGAGATTTGTAACCCTAGTTTGTTCCTCTTGATTTCTAATAGTGAAAACTCCCCCCTCCTTGCCCCGTGGACATAGGCAACTTGCCGAACCACGTAAAAACTGGTGTTTGTGATTGTTTGTGCTATTGTGCTATTGTGATTGTTTGCCCTAAAAATCTCGTTTGTTTCCGCACAACAGCTTACATATAGTGCAACATCTGAGACTTACCCACTTCAACTATTTCCTGCAAGACCAAAAATCAAAATGTTCAAAACTGGATGCATTACTAAAATATAAGACAAGTAAACAATTGAAAAAGAGGTAAACATTTGATTAAGTTAATGAGGAGAATCCATATAGTATTTGATGGCGACAAATATTCTCGCATAAAATATTTACAACTGAAGATACAAATGATAGAAAATTTTGATTAGCTGTTCATTATTCATATATAGTTAAAATAGAGGAGTGCTTCTAGAGTCTTTTGTGACCGTATAATATCCATGAGATTGAACAAAAAGCTCTACGGAACAGTATAAGACCAATAATGCTTTTATAGATTTAAACGTAGGACAACTAAAAAATAACGTGTGCAGAAAATGAGTGCAGCAGAAATGAGCATGTTAATGATGGCCTTGTAGATGTATGCTAAAAGAGGGGATAAGAGATGAGTGCATTAGTAGGATATTAGATGTTGCGAGGATAAAATAAGAGAAAATCAATTGAGATGGTTTTGTCATGTATAGCTGACACCATTAAATGCACGGGTTATGAGAAGTGTTAACAACGTAGTTAATGGATTAAAGAGGACTAAAGGTAGATCTAAAAGAACTAAGTTGAAAGCAACTTAGATGGATGAATGGAAGAACTGAATGGAAGAACAAGATTCCAAGTTAATAGAGGATATGATCCGTACGAGGGATGGAAGAATAAGATTCGTGTATTCGACCTGAAAAATTAGGGATAATGCCTTTGTTGGTATTGTTGTTCAACTGTCCATACCCTAGCTTAGAAGCATGAAAAGCAGAAGAAATATTCAATATATGCTCTACAAACAACTGTAGAGTTACCATACTTCAAGTGTTCCTGTGGAAACATCATTTGCTGAATCATATCATGAAAAATCAGTCCTCAGGAGGACAACTAATAACGGCACATTGGTACAAGATGACTTCGACTCACGGTACAAGATGACTTCACCTCACGGTCTTCAGCAACATATTCCCACTTAATGAAAACATAAAACAAGGTACGAAGAAGAAAATCTCCCCTATCAAAGGGAGAATGTGGGAGTTAGCCACCTTATTCCTTAGAACAATGGACTAATGAAGCCCGATCATAAGATAAATCCTTACTCAATGTTGACAAGGATATCATTCTGGAAAGAATACCCGAAATAGGGTGTAGGGATAAGTCATTCTCGTGAGATGCACACAACCTGCTTCCCGACATTCTTACCAGAAAATAACCCAACAAAAGCAGCCGGAGCACTCTCGAGCCCTTCGCTCATGTCCTCAATGTAAACAATCTTCCCTTGCCTGTAATAACTGGCCATACAATCCAAGAACTGAGGAAAGAGATGCTGGTAGTCGCTCTGAAGGAAGCCCTGCATCCTTATTCGTTTTGGTATGAGAGAGAACAGGTTACGAATCCCTTCGCTGTTAGTTCCGTGTTGAGACACCATTCCACAAACAGCGATCCGACCACGAAGCCTCATGTTGAGGAGCACTGCGTCCAGCATGGCTCCACCCACATTGTCAAAGTAGATGTCGATGCCTGATGGGAAGTACCTGCTTCAAAAAACATTTATATATATGAAGGTCAAGGCAATAAAAGCAAGTAACTAAGTTCGCATATGGGAGCGTAAACTGGGCAGAAAATCCTATTAGGAGTAAGCGTAAATTTCACAAAACCTCCAAAACTTTGTGCGTTTCAGACAAACCCCCCTAAACTTTGCTTTTCCCACTTAACCCTCCAAACTTTTCCCACAAAACTCCCAAAACTCTGAAGTTTCTCAAATAACCCCCATCCCGGATCAAATTTTTTTTTTTTCACATAACCCCACAAATCTCCGTCATCAATCCACATGATATTTGCAAGACTGGCGATGAATATTTGTTCTCTCAGGATGGAAATAGAAAAGCAGTTGATATTCCTTTAAAGATGTAATGCCTATTAATATCAGATATAAATGGGACTAGTTAAAAATAACAACAATAATAATAGAAAAGCCTTTTAATGGAAGAACCACTTCCAACATGTAGGATAATTCCAACAAATGGCAAGTTTATCCAATCAATACCATAAAAGAACATGAGATACAGTCAAAACCTTAGAAATTGTGACTAATTTATCTTCTATTAGGCACTAAATAACAAATAGTTAAAATCTTGGAAAATTGGAATTTAGCAGAGCATTCCACGGACCTCAGCAATGGAAAGAGAAAACGACGGAATTCCACAGTAGTAGTTAATGTTTTGAATCTCTATCAGCATAAGGATACTTTCCAAGGTCTTTTGTCTGAGGCTTGGCGACATGACCTTTTTTTAGAGCAAAATTTTCTGATTAATTTTATATATGCAGTTATAACACTAAATGTAACATCCAACAAATTAGCCCCACATCGCATGGTGACTAGAGTGAGATGGCAATTATAAGGTAAGCTGTGTATTCATATGTAGCATTGGCTAGCAGATTGTAGCAGTGGTTTGAGCAAAACAATGCGCTATACTCAGTAGGTACTTCACGTGATAGGCTCGCGAGCTCGAGGTGACAAATGGTATTAGGGCAGTTAGCCAGCCGGAAGTGTGGAACTAAGTGCTATGCGAGACTAATGTTTTAAAAAGCTACCGCCTAGCTTGCCTAGGCTTACGCTTAGGCCTAGGCAATACCTAGGCCACCTGCTCAGGTTTTGGGAATGCCTACGCCTAGGCGATACTTTACGCAGACTGCACCACTTAGGTCTTAGTCATAATTTCCTCCATTGCCGCCTCCATCATCCACCAAGCTCCTCTGAGCTCCTTGGTGTCCACAACTATAAACACCTCCAACTCCTCTTACCTTCAGCAAACCTCCTCTACCACTACTTAAAAAAAAGAACAAAAAAGAAATCCTCACAAAGAAGAGAAACAGACTAGAGTCAAAGAGAAACAGATTAGATGATTATGCCAATATTACACTGATGATCTTTTTTTCTTACTTCTGCTGATATTTTGAGCATCAGCTTTTGGAAAATTGGGATATTGCGTCATCAATATTGACTTATTGTGTTGATGTAGCTTAGTATTCACCATTTAGTTTACTTATGTATGATTGATTATGAATCTATGATTGTTATTTTTTTGCAGCTCTTTTTAAGAATTTGATGCATTTATTATCAATTATTGTAATAAAAAAATAAAATGTGGAAAACTGTCTACGTCTCGCCTAAGCTCTAGGGATTGGGTCTGGACCCTATGCCGCCTAGCACTTTCTGTAACATTTTGCAAGACAAATTGCTACATCCATGGGCGTAGTGGGAGCCACCTCTTGAACCGATGGGAACTGCCTCTAGAACAAGTAGGAGCTGCCTCTAGAGTCCACATTCCCTAATGGTGATGCTGGGATGGGCCAATTGTCATATGTCGCAATGAGGATGTTGCGTAATTAAGATAGGGTGATTATAACAATCCAACAAATTAGTCCCACATTGGATGGTGACTAGAGTGAGATAGTAGTGTTTATAAGGTGTCTTGTGAGATTCAAGGGTAGCATCGGCTAGCCGATTTTGGCATTGGTTTGAGTCAAACAATGCACTACACTTAGTGGGTCTCACGGCTTCCTCATGCCGATGGGCTTACAGGCTTGCGGTGACACTAACATTGTAAAGGAAACTAAGGTTAAAAAACTTCATAGAAAGTACTGATTGCACTGACCTTTTTAAGGCTGCATTCAAGTCTGGTTCCTCTCTGTAATTGAAAGCTTCGTCAAACCCAAGTTTGTTCTTCAGAAGATCGATCTGAATTCAATAGTTTATTTATGTATCCATCTGAAAGTTAAAAATAAAATAAAGTAATCCAAGAAGGCAATACCTTTTGGTTTGTGCTTGCACTGCCAACAACATAACAACCATACAGTTTTGCGAGCTGACCAACAAGCTGGCCTACTGCACCAGATGCAGCAGATACAAAAACGCTCTCTCCTTTTTTAGGACAACAAACTTCATAAAATCCAGCATAGGCAGTAAAACCTGGCATACCTGGGAGGGCAAAAACATTTATAGATCTCAAGCGCAAATTGACAGTTTCTTCCCAATAACAAGGAAATACACGTGCTAAAATAAAATTAGCATATAGAATATTTGTTCATTTATCTTGTATCTTGAGATTTTCTAAGCGAATCTGCAGAGGCATTTATCCTTGAATAATTGATATGCTGTCTGTCTCTAAGATCCCAAATTTTCAAGCAGATCCGGACATCACTTTCAATTGTAATAAACTAAAGGTTACCGGCAAATCTTAGTACTTTACAGATCATATAATTCTTTGTTTAGTGCTTTTGACCATTCTGTAATCCAAATAACTTCTTTGATAAATATGCCTACCAATGTTGAAAATAACGATAACACATAACATAATGTGTACCTCTTGTTAAGGGTTATTGAAAAAAATGCAAAAAACATAACGTATAACGTAGGTTATATTAATTATTTGTTATTTAGAATATTTTATAAATACAAACAATTCATAATGACTTTAATTATTAGAATCATCAGAATTTTCAAACATAATTGTCAAATATAGAATAAAGTATCACAATTTCTTAACAAAAGTTAGTCATACATGACTAATAACCATTCCAAAAAGCATCATCAAATGATCAGATACGTTCAGTTTAAAGCAATCAAACAACTCTTAACAAAATTGTAGTCAGGACTCAGAAGTCACAATCGTAGCTGATCTTCGATGTCGACGTGAAGAAGAGATTGGTTGGAGATGCGAAGAGGTGAAGGGAGGACCTTTAGGCAGGTGGAAGAGAAGAGGAGGGTCGGTTGTGTTGCGCGCAGTGGAAATTTCGGCAACACTTCGGCAGCACAACAAGAGAGTCAAATCGCAATAAGAATTCCCGTCTCACCAAGGAGACAAGAATCTGAAGCGGATATCTCAACAAAGTGAGATATCGGCTCTTTCTCTCATCAGTTCTAGGACTGACCTGTCGAGGGATCCTAAAAGCTTATTACAAATCACACAAATAGCAGTACAACCAATTTTACGTGGTTCGGCAAATTGCCTACGTCCACGGGGCAAGGAGGGGGGAGATCCACTAATAGAGGGAGAGAATAACAAATAGGTTTACAACTCTCACACAAACTCTCAAATCCCTCACAAATACCTCTCAAAGGGATACACAAAACCCTAAAAGGGACTACACAAATCTCCTCAACTGCAGCCACAAAAACCTCTCTGCTATGCACGCTCACAGCAAAAATCGCAGCCGCCAAATAAACTCCTCGCGCACAGCAGGCAGCCAGCCGCACAAAAGAAATCAACTCCTTTGCACGTCGCCCTAGGTCACGCATGAAAGAATATATATAGTCTGCTAAAGGCGGAATCGGGTGGGCCGCTTGCTCTGTTCCGCGTTCAAGAGAACGTGGTGTTCTCATTAATGTGGTGGCCCCCATGGCCCTCACGTTCACAATTCTCCACCTCGGTGAAGTTTTCCCAAAACTGAGCCGACACCAAGCAACCAAATATCCCACTTGTTGTGTCCAGTACAATCTCTACATCGCCATCTTCAAGAACATCCCGAACGAAGTGATAACGAACGTCAATGTGCTTCGTCCTCGCATGAAAAACCTGATTCTTCGCCAAATATATAGCACTCATGCTATCACAATGAATAGTGACGGATCGCTGCGATATACCAAGTTCTTCCAAAAGTCCTCGAAGCCAAATAGCCTCCTTCACAGCCTCCGTAGCTGCCATATACTCTGCCTCCGTCGTAGACAAAGCCACCGTCGACTGTAAGATGCATCTCCAACACACCGGCGCACGGGTCAAAGTGAACACATACCCCGTAGTAGACCGGCGTTTATCTAAATCCCCGGCATAATCCGAATCAACATAACCAATGCATAGCTGCCCACCTGTAGTGTCCCGCTCATAAACTAAACCAACATTGAGCGTACCTCGAATGTACCTCAAAATCCATTTCACGGCGTCCCAATGACCCACTCCTGGATCGTGCATGTATCTCGAAATCATTCTTACTGCCTGTGATAAATCCAACCTCGTACATACCATCACATACATCAAGCTCCTAACGTAAACACATACCCCGTAGTAGACCGGCGCTTATCCAAATCCCCGGCATAATCCGAATCAACATAGCCAATGCATAGCTGCCCACCTGTAGTGTCCCGCTCATAAACCAAACCAACATTGAGCGTACCTCGAATGTACCTCAAAATCCATTTCACGGCGTCCCAATGACCCACTCCTGGATCATGCATGTATCTCGAAACCATGCTTACCGCCTGTGACAAATCTGGTCTCGTACATACCATTGCGTACATCAAGCTCCCAACCGCGCTCGCATATGGAGTCTTCGACATCAACTCACGATCTTCAACTGACTTCGGTGAAAGACCAGCTGAAAGCTTCAAATGGGCTCCCAAAGGTACACCAACTGGCTTCGTATCCATGCTAACATGGAATCGCTGTAGAACTTTCTTCAAATAAGCCACCTGTGTCAAACAAATTCTGCCCTTCTTCTTGTCTCTGCCGATCTCCATCCCTAGAATGCGCTTCGCCTCACCCAAGTCTTTCATCTCAAACTCATTTGATAGTTGAACTTTCAACTCATCTATAGCCGACCTGGAAATAGAGGCAACCAACATGTCATCGACATAGAGCAACAAATAAATATACGCACCTCCTTTCAACTTGCGAAAATATACGCAAGGATCAAACTGGCTCCGAGTGTACGAATGACCAAGCATAAAACCATCGAATCGCCTATACCACTGTCGAGGAGACTGCTTCAAACCGTATAGCGATTTCTTTAGCCTGCAAACCAACTTATCTTTCCCTGCAGCTCGGAATCCCAATGGCTGAGTCATATATATTTCTTCATCAAGATCACCATGAAGAAATGCCGTCTTCACATCCAACTGATCTAACTCTAAACCATACTGTGCCACCAAAGCTAGCAAAATCCGAATCGAAGAATGCTTCACCACCGGGGAGAAAACCTCATTATAATCTATTCCTTCCTCCTGTGCATAGCCCTTCGCAACCAACCTAGCCTTGAATCTCAACGGAGTGCCTTCAATGCCCTCCTTCTTCGTGTATACCCACTTGCAACCAATTGCCTTCCGCCCCTTTGGAAGCTCAACAAGCTCCCATGTATCGTTCTTATGAAGAGATTCCATCTCCTCCTGCATAGCCACCTGCCACGAATCAGCCTCCGAACTCTGCTCGGCCTCTCTGAATGTAGTAGGCACTAACTCATCGATACTCTCCACCGGAAGTGCATACGCAACTGTGTCGGCATACCGTGCTGGCATCTGTATGTTTCTCCTCTGTCTCCTAGCCGCAATAGAATCCTGAACCTGAGCCGTCGGTTCTTGATCCTGCACATTTGTACTCGTATCCTCCGTGTCACCGTCGTGCTCGCCTGGCGTCACCTCAGTCGGCACCTGCATGGATACTGTACCATCTGGACAATGTGGAGTTGCATCGATCTTCACCACCTGTGATATCTCCTCCGTCGGGTCGCTCTCTCTGATGAGAGCTGGGAAGCTTCAAGATAGAAGCCTCATCGAATGTGACATCCCTACTCAGCACAATCTTCTTATCCACTGGATCCCAAAGCTTGTATCCCTTGACACCACGCTTGAATCCTACAAATATGGCCTTCCTAGCTCGAGGTTCTAATTTATCAGTTCTAACATGATAATATGTAGGGCACCCAAATACCTTGAGCTGGTCATAGTCATGTGCTGGCTTTCCCGACCATATCTCCATAGGGGTTTTCCCCTCAATCAGGTGGCTCGCATATGTAAGTGCCTCAGCCCAAAAGATCTTCTCCAAACCACTCTGCGACAATAAGCATCGGATCTTCTCCAGTAAAGACCGATTCAACCTCTCTACCACCCCATTTTGCTGCGCTGTATGACTAACTGTGAAGTATCTCTCTATGCCCTCGTCTCGACATAGCTGCTGAAAGGGGTCAGAAGTATACTCACCACCGTTGTCGGATCGCAACGTCTTGATCTTTCTCCCAGTCTGCAGTTCCAATCTCTTCTTCCACTCCACAAACAAATCCAGGACTTCACTCTTCTTCGTCATGATGTACACCCAACATCGCCTAGAATAGTCATCTACAAAAGTGACGAACCAATGTCGACCACCAAGTGATGCAGTCTTGATAGGACCCCAAACGTCTGTGTGCACGTAGTCCAGGATACCCCTCGTCTGATGAATGACAGTCCCGAACTTCACCTTCGTCTTCTTACCAAGAACACAGTGCTCACAGAACTCAATCTTCCCACTCTTGGCTCCCTTCAATAGCCCCTGCTTGCACAATACCTGCAGTGACTTTTCACCTGTGTGCCCCAACCTATAGTGCCAAAGTCTGCTCATGTCCGCTTCTGAAATAGCCGAAGCAACCTGGCCAATCTCGGTGCTTCCCTTCAGATAATACAAATTCCGATTGCGGACTCCCCTCATCACCACCAATGATCCCTTAGTAACCTTCGCTACAGCATTTTCGAAAGTCACCTTGAATCCCTTCGCCTCCAAAGCTCCAACTGAGATAAGATTTTTCTTTAGTTGAGGAACAAATCTTACCTCTTTCAACTCACGGACTACTCCATCGTGCATCCTAATCCGTACGGTACCTATCCCACAAACGCCACAGGATTGATCATTTCCCATGACAACAACGCCCCCGTCGACTTTTTCAAAAGAAGCAAACCAGTCTCGCCTAGGGGTCACATGAAAAGTAGCGCCGGAATCAAGCATCCAATCTGATGCATCTACATGGTTCACCTCCGGAGTAATCAGTAGAGAAAAGCACGAATCATCGGAATCATCGCCGTTCGCAATATTCACCTCATTGGCCTTCGGACCTTTTTTCTTGCCATTCTCTTTCTCCTTGAGCTTCGGGCAGTCTCTCTTCCAATGTCCCTGCTCCTTGCAGAATGCACATTGGTTCTTTGTTAATTGGTGGCGGCCTCTAGACTTTGACCTCCCTCTGTTACCACCTTTCGGATATGGGCTTCTACCTCTTGTCGACAAGGCCTCTCCTGAAGTCAAATCGTAATTTGTCAAAGCGTTAGTCACTTCACTATAGCTGATAGAAGATCTCCCGTTCAACAAAGTGAGCACGAAGGTATCATACTCCTCATCCGGTAAGGAGCCCAACAAAATAATCGCCTTGTACTCATCCGATATCTTCTCATCAACATTCGCCCAGTCAGACAACAACTTCGTATAGTTGTTCACATGAGCCGCTAGCGAGGTTCCTCTGGACATCTGAAATCTGAAGAGTCTTCGCAGCAAGTGCAACCTGTTCTCAACACTCTTTGTGAGATACTTATTGTTGAGAATTTCCTACATCTTCATTGCAGACGTCACCCCAATCATATCATATTTCAGCTCCTGTTCCAAACAGGACCTGATCACCCCACAAGCGTTCCTATTCATTTTCTCCCATACCGCCTCATCATATTTAGGTGGTCTTTCGTGGACCATAATGGTCTCTTCCAAATTCTGAGCATTGAGCGCATCCTGTACGTCGCTCATCCACAAACCAAAGTTGATTTTTCCGTCATATTTCACCACACTAATTTTGGTGTTTTGAAAACCAACTTGTATTGTACCCGCTTGCGCGCAGCGGAAATTTCGGCAGCACTTCGACAGCACAACAAGAGAGTCAGATCGCAATAAGAATTCCCGTCTTACCAAGGAGACAAGAATCTGAAGCGGATATCTCAACAAAGTGAGATATCGGCTCTTCCTCTCATCAGTTCTAGGCCTGACCTATCGAGGGATCCTAAAAGCTATTACAAATCACACAAATAGCAGTACAACCAATTTTACGTGGTTCGGCAAATTGCCTACGTCCATGGGGCAAGGAGGGGGAAGATCCACTAATAGAGGGAGAGAATACAAATAGGGTTTACAATCACTCACAATCTAAACCCTCACACAAACTCTCAAATCCCTCACAAATACCTCTCAAAGGGATACACAAAACCCTAAAAGGGACTACACAAATCTCCTCAACTGCAGCCGCAAAAACCTCTCTGCTATGCACGCTCACAGCAAAAATCGCAGCCGCCAAATAAACTCCTCGCGCACAGCAGGCAGCCAGCCACACAAAAGAAATCAACTCCTTTGCACGCCGCCCTAGGTCACGCATGAAAGAATATATATAGTCTGCTAAAGGCGGAATCGGGTGGGCCGCTTGCTCTGTTCCGCGTTCAAGAGAACGTGGTGTTCTCATTAATGTGGTGGCCCCCATGGCCCTCACGTTCACAATTCTCCACCTCGGTGAAGTTTTTCCAAAACTGAGCCGACACCAAGCAACCAAATATCCCACTTGTTGTGTCCAGTACGGACTCAATCCACAACAAGTCGAGAACCCAAACGAGAGTCCAAACAATCTCACCCCCATCAAAATCAACTAATCCAAACCGGCTGCATCTGAAAGACTGCCTACGTATCCTCTTGCCCAAGGAATCAAGTCGAACGTAGTTCATCCAAAAATTTCTTCCGCAGCCAAAACCTCTTGCGTTTGCACCAAGCCTGCTTGCACAAAAACCTAGAAACCAAATACATATCATTTATATAGGCAGCAGCAGGAGAAAACGCGTGCCTGGCTCAAAATCAATTCGTGGGCCTGGGCCTTATCAGGTCCGTTCACAGGTTGAAGCGGGGGAGGTGAGGCAGAGAGGAACAGGAGGCGGCGGCAGCAGAAGATGAGTATGAGAACCTGCGGTGAATCACGAGGAGGCGGCATCAGAAGATGGGGTCTGATGGAGAGTCCGAGAGGAAAGGTGCAGCCGCGGTTGTGAAGAGGACGGAAAGCGCAGTCACATGAAGAGGCACTAGGGTTATCAAGATAACGGGCTAAGCTGGGTATTGTTTAGGGTTCAGGGTCGCTGAGATTAGATTTTGGACGGTTGTCACTTAGCGCCACATCCAAAAACATAAAGACCATTAAGCGCAGTCTGCATTTTATGCCAGTGTTACATAACATTTTGGCCACGTTATGTGCTAAAACGGGTTATAACGTGTTCTAAAACGCATTTTTTTCAACATTGGCACCTACATTAGAATTTCTAAAAACTTTCAAAAGAACTTCACACCCTGTGATTGGATCATGCCGCACATATAGCGTTCCACTAGTAAACATTCAAAATAGAATTTTATCTCATGCTTTCGAATTATTTCGTGAATATGTTATATTTGTCATTGCTGTTGCCTATCGTAATATCCAGACAGATTGAGGTTGACGTTACACACTTAGCATAATAGTAACTTACGATTTGTGACACCGCTGATCATAGTTTTTTGTTAGTTCGGTGTCAGTTTAAGAAGTCATGTGTGTTTGCTCAAAGGCAATGCATGCATGAAGAAAACAAACCATTCGACTTCAAATAATGCAACAATCCTCCTGGATCATTATATAATTCTGACATGCCAGTTTAGTTACTTAGCCATGATTTAGATGACCGATTTATGCATAAGCGGGTTTCTCTAATGTAACGGGAATTGCGGTCTGCAATTAACTTGTATCTCAAGTTCTTCAAGCGGCCTCACATATTAAAAGCAATATTAAAGTTCTATCAAACTAACAGGCTACGGTCAAAATGAAGTTGTCCGATAGGGGTTTCTTTGGCAAACTAATATTACTTAACTTAAGATGCACATACCGAGCATTCAGTCACAACAATTGAACAAAATGAGCATCAAAATATCAGCTGCCTACCAAGAAGGCCGACGTGGTACGAGAGCGGAACATCATTCATCTCGATTTTCCTCAACATCCCAGCCTTCACAATCAAACTATACTCCTCCCATCCAGTCATTCCCTCGACAAAATCGCCCACCGCAAAATCAGGGTCATCAGAATCCACAACTTTAGCCACTCCAAAACCCTCTATAACCTTCACACAAACAATCAATCGATCAACCAACAAAAAGGGTCAACAAATGGTCCCTCCTTTTTTTTTCCCCTCCTGGGCTGAGAAAATTACCGAATTGGGTTGAAACGGAGGAATGTAGGAATTGTAGTTCTCCCTCATTCTTCCTCTCAAGTAAGGGTCGCAAGAAAGGTAAAGATTCTTCACAAGAACAACACCGGAGCCCGCCGGAACCCTAATCCCAATTTTGCCCTCTCTCAGCTCCATGTCTGACTCTTTTGGAGTTCCGGTAATGAAGTTCTTGAGGATTATTTGCTTGTTGGCGATCTCTTCTTCCATGGTTCCAGTAATGAAGTTCTTGAGGATTATTTCTCCCCCTTTTCTGGGATTATATTATTTATAGGGAAAGTAAGCGTCGGGTTTTAAATGGAAGGAAGAGGGCGCGGGTTAGGTATGGGATGTGGTGAGAGTCGGACTTGAACTCCCTCGAAAGAAATTTTCTAAATAAACCCATTCATACTTTTTTTTAAGAAATCGACCCCATTGAGTTTTTTTATAAAAATCGACCTACTTTCTCGCCACGTCAGCATGGTGGCGATAAAGTAGGTCGATTCTTTTTTAATCTTGTTTCTAAATAGGAAGCGGGGTTACCAACCCCGACTATTTAGGGCATAAAATGTTTGGGTTTAGGGTTGAAATTGGGGTTTTGCAACCTCCTAAATAGTCGGGGTTGGCAACACCGACTATTTAGGAACCAGATTAAAAAAATCGATCCACTTTCTCGCCACAATGCTGACGTGACGAGAAAGTGAGTCGATTTTTGAAAAAAAAACTCAATGGGGTCTATTTTAAAAGAAAAGTATGAATGAGTTTATTTAAGGGCTTGTTTGGATTGAGGGGAATGAGGGTGAAGGGAAGTTAGGGGAACCATTCACTTCCATTCATCTTGTTTGGGAACACTTAGGATGTGAAGTTAATTCACCCTAGTTCCCCTTGGTTCACCCCCTAATAGTATAAAATTTGTTACCCCCCAAATTGGGGTGTAACCAAGGGGAAGGGAACTCCCTTCCCTTCCCTTCCCTTCCCTTCTCTCAGGGCTTGTTTGGATTGAGGGGAATGAGGGTGAAGGGAAGTTAGGGGAACCATTCACCTCCATTCACCTTGTTTGGGAACACTTAGGAGGTGAAGTTAATTCACCTCCATTCACCTTGGTTCACCCCCTAATAGTAGTAAAATTGTTACCCCCCAAATTGGGGTGTAACCAAGGGGAAGGGAATTCCCTTCCCTTCCCTTCCTTTCCCTTCCATTCCCTTCACTTAGTTTCCCTTAACTTCCCTTCACCCCCTACGAATCCAAACAGGCCCTCAGTTTCCCTTAACTTCCCTTCACCCCCTACAAATCCAAACAGGCCCTTAGAAAATTTCTTCTCCTCCCCCCTTTCTCAGCATTTTTCTACTCTAATTCTTTTAAAATCAACATTTTGTCATCTTTTAATGTGCAGACGTGAGAACTTTTCTCTAAATATTCTTACATGATACTTAGAATCAACTCGCATGCGGGTGTCATATGAGAACATTCGACTAGAAATTTTCACATATATATGACCAAAGGATAATAATTTGGCTATTTTAAACAACTTAAGGTATATGAAAACTGTGGAAAACAAGCTAGAGTATAGAAGCGCAAAATAGGTGAAACTATAAGGTACTTAAGTGTTATTTAGCCTTCATTTTATGTTTGTTAAGTTTGCAAATAACCCTGTTCTTACTATTACTAACATGCATAGTTGTGGAGCCCATAAAAAAGTTTTTTTTGGTGGTGGTGGTGGTGGGGAGTGTATCCAAGATACACGCATATATTGTTTTTTATTTATTAAAAAAAATTCTTTTCAAAATTGCTCATATTTTGAAATTGGTCCCTGAGATAACTAAAATTCCTAGTAGCTTCCCCAAATCATAAGTTATTTGAAAATTAGTCCCTCAAATCACTGAAAATTGTCATTGGGTTCACCAATTCTTGTGATAAATTTGAAACAACTACTCATGAGAATGGGAGAGGACTGTTAACAATTTCAATGATTTGAGGGGTTAAGTTTAAATAACTTACAAATTTGATCGAGGGGACCTTATAGCAATTTCAGTGAGCGAGGGACTATTTTCAAAATATGAAACATTCAAGGCGCTAAGGGACCAAGAACTAAAGATAAAATACGAATGTTTTTCTGATGTGGCTCCGCCACTAAACATGCAGCATCTATCAGTTCCTTTAACCCTTATCATGCTTCAATTTGGGAGAGAGAGGATTTGTTGGGAATTTAACGCCTAAATCCCCTAATGCAACGGAAACGCGGTATAGAGAACAGTACACCAAGTTTTAACAAGGTTCGGCAACTGCCTACGTCCTCGGGAGCCACACAGATAATTTCTTATTAATCAAACAAGAAATTACAATTTAGGAGCAGATCTCAAAACTGAGATTTCTCAAGTAAACACTGTAGCTACAGTGTTAATAATCAAAGGGTATGAACCCTTACAATTTCTCTCACTTGAGAATAAATACCCCACAATATAAACCCCACTTTAATTCCTCTCTCTCTTCTTAATCTCTCTTTTTAATCTCCCCTCAAAATCCCAAAGTTCTGAGCGCTGGAGAAAAAATCGAAATCGCTACTGCGATTTGGGGAAAAACGCTGCTGCGTTTTAGGGCTGATCGCCACCGCCAGAGAGAAACGAAATCGGAGGAGAGGGGGAAGAATCAGCAACCGAAACCCTAGGCTGGGGTTTCTTTTATAGGCGGAGTTGATGGATGAGCTGGCGACAGCCTGTCGCCAGCAGCCCGCGAACGCAAAGGTGGGCATCGCTGTGACGCAGGGCTCGCCTTCGCCAAACGCAGAGTTCGCCTTTGCCAAACGCAGAGTTCGGAAGGGGTTCGAACGCAGAGCTCAAGCTGGACCTTGCCGCCTGTCGCCTGGACTACCGGAGCTCGCCTGCGACCATCGAACTCGTCGGAGCTCGTCGGAGCTCCTCGTCGCCGGCGGAGGTTTGTTTCCACCCCCAATTCTAACATTACGTGTATACTTCTCAAAATATATTCACCGCCGTTTCGCAAGGATGATTGGATGAGTGTGCTCCCTGCTTAATTGGTCCAAGATTCAAGTATTTTTATCAGTTTTCTTGGAGTCAAAACGAAGTCTTTATCCTTGATTTTTTTTTATTTTTTTGACTCACTATGTGCGTCCTACTTTCCATATAATTCTATTTTGGCTCTCTGTTAAGTTCACTATAGCATGTTCTCTTAACCGTTTAAATAAACTTCAAATATACACATGGATTCAGATTCAAGGACTCTTAAGGTTGTGGGTCTTCCCCTTAGAATCCACATGTATATTTAATGGCACTGAATATACCCATGAACTTTGTCTTTCTCTCACGTAATTACCTTCCTAAACGTAACCCCATG